TGCATGATGACTTTCTAATTTCCTTTGTATATGTGGTTGCTTTTGAATGTAATGTCTGGAAAGGAACAAAGCAGAAAATAAAGGGGCACTGGCCCTTTAAATCTCCTAGAAGTTACTTTAGCCAGAGAGATGGGACTGGTTACAATGAGGTGAAAGTGCAACGAGAATGAGTGCGTAGCTCTTTATCTGTACTTTAGAGATGAGAAATAGCTCAATAATCGGAGCACAGAACAGAGCACAGATCCCCGATATTTGGAGGACAGGGACCTTATTGCCCACTCTAGTTACCACGAGGTGCATGCAAGCTGCCCTGGGAAAGTATACATGGCTGGCTGCCTTGGGACTTGAAGGATGGGTAGCTGCTACTATAGAGCTAAGGGCTGAAATTAGCTGAAATTAACCACAATTTATTATCCAAGCCTTTCCCTGGAAGCTACAAGCCTTCAATAGACTCCAGAGATGCAAAACAGTTAAATCACACAGATTCTGCCACTGTAATTGTTGTGCTGGGAGGAAGATGGAGTCCTAGTGCTTCTTACTCTTCTATATTCCCAGAAACCTCTCCATCTACATTTATTTTAAAGTATTTTTACTTTGCCGTAGCTTAATCGAGTGAGCAAATCTCTGACAACTCTTTAGATTTTCACCTTCCTAAGTTTAGATCCTAAATTTAGAAAAAATAAAATAAAAATTTTGAGTTACCTAATGAATTAGCTCAACACTGTTATAAGAGCTGCAGTGGAAGACTTGGTTAACATAACAATTACTAAGCTGACAAGTAGAACAAGAACTCAAATTCAAATTTTTTTTTGATTTACTCCAAGTTCTGTGCTCTGTCTAGTAGGCTTAATTATGGAAAATTTGAGAATTATAACATTAAATATTTAATAGTACTTAATTAAAATATAACCCAAGATCTCACCTTACCAGATTTCAAGTTACTGCTAAGAACCTAAAAGTCCCCACCTGTACGCTATTACCAATCAACTGCTTAGTTGTGCCAACTTGGTGTCTACCATAGACACAAGTTTCCTAAGCAACCTGATATGACATAAGTAAAAGCTCTGCTCTACAGTAAATTATGACGTAGTTGGAGATATAATTCTGATGTGAAATTATTGGAATATATTAAGAAGGGTACATGATGCAGGAAAAATAAGTATAGACTTGGATAAATACAATGCAGCATCATATAGCAGTTAGAAGCAACATATGCACACATAGCAAAACGGATGGATCAGAAACATAGCACTTAGGGAAAAGAGTAAAAATAAATAAGCTATTATACAATAGATATGCACTTAAAAATACATGTATACAAAACAATGTTAGCCATTTTGCAAAAATACATAGAGATATTTATTAAAGACACTGGAATAGTAGCCTATGGAGGGGAGGGAAACGGAAATAGAGTACAAAGATAAAAGAGTAGAAAGAAATGAAAAGCACAGGCTTTGCTGGAATGAAATATAATGCAGCTATTAAAACTAATATAACTGATCTATATGGACTAATATGTAAAGATAATCAAAATAATTTTTAAGTGACAAAAGCAAGAAAGAGAATGGTATGTATAATGTTCCATTTCTGAATATGTGTTTCTCAATATTTGCATGTACATGTCCAAGTATGAAAAAGAAACTCTGGAAGAATACACCAAACTAAAAACAGTGGGGAAAGACTTTCTGAACTTTTTAATCATTTTACAATTAATTTATGTTTGTAAAAAGAAAATTTTATAAACTTTGGCATTAGGCAGAAGTAAGTTCAAACACCGACTATGTGATTTGGGGAAAGTTACTTAACCTCTGTTAGATTTCTTATCTATTAAATAGAAAAAAATCCACTAATTTGTGGGGGAGGAGTTATAAGAATTAAAAAAGACAACAATTAAAACACTCCTGGCACAGTGTTCCCTCCATTCCCCTAAGTTAAAGCACCCAATTAAAATTAAGAAAAGGTGATAATGAGAAATGCAATTTAGAGAAGGAAAAGATCACGAAAGATTAGACTTGAGCTGAGCTTTAAAGAATGGTCGAATATTAGTAAGAGAGAGGTAGAGGGTAAGTATTACCAAAATAAAGAGACAATCACAATAAGTACATAAGTAGAAGAAAGTGATGTATAAATACGCGCTCGGTGCCTACCACACAATGCATCCTCAATAAATCTGTTAAATAAATGAAAAAAGGTGCACATTAGGAAATAATAGAAAAAAATAAGACTACTTAGGTAGGATAGGGTCATAGTTTAGAGATCCTTGAAATCAAAATAGAGATTAGATGTAATGCAGATACCAATGCTAAGCTTCTAGAGCTGGAATTACCTGGCAAAGTTACATGTTAGGAAGATATGGTCTCGTAGCAATAAGCCAGATTGACAGGATATAGATTAACCAGTTATAATAAGTTATTAAGTTATATCCATAAATATAAGTATTTTATATACATACACGCAGGATATAACGTATATTACACATATAACAATATTACAAACAGGAAATCGCATAGAGAACTAAACTAATATGGGAACTAATTAGAGCAGAAACATGACTAAGATATTAGAATATGATACCAAACTCCCATAGTAATTATAATTAACATTTGCAGTTGTAAATAAATATGTATATAAACAAACCTAGCATTATTTCTCAATAACATAATGGAGGAAGAGTCAATCGCCTAAATGTTAACTCACCTGATCCTCTTGAAACAAAATGCCTTTCTGAGCATTTATTCGTTTAAACAGATCCCCTCCTTCGCAGTAATCCATCACTATGTAGAGAGAGCCATTTTCTGCAAAATATAAATATTTCATTCCATTTTTAAAAATTTGTATCAAAAGCATAGATAAATTAAGAGTACCTAACGGTTTACTAAAAAGTAGCATAATTAACTGTGTCCCATTAAACCAAAAACAGAATCAAACTCAAAAAAATTAGAGTACAAAGTCAAGGTACACTGGTTATACAGACTGTACAATAACTTGGGTTAACAGGCACCTCCATCATTAATGAATTTTTCTACTAAGAATACACCATCCTATTGGATAGCAGTGTCCACATTGATCCAAACATCTCTGGAATACAGACAAAATGTAGACAGATATACAGATATTCCTTGACTTATGGTGGGGTTACATTTTAATAAACCCATCGCAAGTTGAAAATATCATTAAGTTGAAAATGCATATTTTTAATTTTAACTTATTATGTGTATAATTCAGTGGCATTTAAAGTATAATATTGGTAATATAGTCAATAATATTGAAAATGCATATTTTAATATTTATTATTAATACTTTCATGACTCATTCCATGGGTAGACAGGACTAGAAAACATTTCTTAGTTCTTCTCTTCATCCTTATTCTTATATAAGAATAAGACTATGCTTATTCGTCTCAAGTAGAGTGACTGACATTACTTCCAACATTTACTAAACCACTACTCACTAGTGAAACTATTGCAACTCAACAGCTTTCCCAGTTTTCACTTCTCTCATTACCCTGTGCTTATGGCCTTATCTCCAGCAGTACTTATTTCCTGCACCTTGTGGCGACGTTATTACTGGTAGTACTCATATCTCCTTCTGCTATACTGCTTCTAATGTAGTATGATGTGCTATGGATTGGGAACCTATATGACTGAGCTAATAAAGAATCTGTTATAAGTCTTTTTGATATGAAAAGATTACCCAAATATACGTGAGAAATCAATGTTAAACAAAATAACTGTAGAATCTATTACTTATAAAAATGTGTATAGGATGTTAATATTTATGTAGCATAAGGGAAAAAAGCAAAAAATTATTTACAGTATGCTATCATTTAATGTATGCTTAATAATGCTTAGAATATTTCTGGCAGGAAACACAAGACAGTGGTACTGGTTAACTCCAGGAAATAAAAATAGGTAGTTCAAAGGTAGGAATAGAAGGCGAACTTTTCACTCTTATGTAACATTTGAATTTTATATAATATGCATGTATCAAAAAAATAAAACCATCAAAACATTGAAAAAGAGTGTGTGTGTATGTGAAAGAGAGAGAGAGACAGGGAGACAGAGGTTAAACAGGGCCTGCCAAAGAGATGGAGAAGTAATCCTGAAGTAACATGCTTGAGCTTTAGTACATGAACTCTGTAATGTTTGCTGCTGCTTAAACATTTATTATTTATTTTGAGGGTAAATACCACCTAAAATGTAAGGTTAACATAAAAGCCTTTTCTCCATGAGGTAAGTACTAATCTGTTTTGTATCCCTTCAAACACTTAAACATCTGAGTGTCAGCTATGTGCCAGGCACTTTTGCACATGATGCTGGGAATACAGAAATATAAGATGCCACCCATATCACCAATGGGCTCACACACCAATGGAGAAATCGCTTTCAAAAAAAAAAACAAAACAAAACGAAACCCAAAACCACCACCACCTAGACACTGCTTGAAGTTGAGGCAAAAAAGCCTGTAAAGCAAGTGATAAACCCTCAATGCATGTTAGAAAACAACCAAGGCTGTAACAGAAAAAGTAATGAGGATGCGAGCTACAACCCCTCGGCAATGCATATGCTGTTAGATGGCTAACCCAAAGCCAGTTCTAACACTCTTCTCCCTTCATCACCTCTCACTTTAGAAGCTGGGGGAGGGAGGAATAACAGATTTTCTAATTTCCAGTCTCCCCTATACTTAGAGGTGGTCACTGACCCAGTTTTGGCCAATAAGATCTAAGAGGAAATCTGAACAGTGGCTTCTGAAAAAGCATGTGCTTATCTGATTACAGGAACAGATCCAAAAGAAGAGCTGCTGGTGCTACCATGCCCCTTCTTTTTGCCTTGGAGGCAGACACGTGCCTAGAATTGCAAGAGCCATCTTGGGACAAGGTTAAAAGCATTAGGCTGAAAACTTACGTACTAAGGATGGCAGAGAAGACAGACAGAGCCTGCATCTTGATAAAACTACTGAACTGCCACATATACCCTATTACAGGACTGCTTATCTTTAAGAATTAAATATTTTTCTCATTTAGGCCATATTGGTCAGATTTTCTGTTACTCGCAGCAAAAAGGAATCCAAATTTAGCCTCAAAGAAAAGCTTTTTTCAAGTAGATAGAGAAGCTGGATTTGGCACAGGAAACGAGTAGTGCGCCAGCACCTATCATCATGTATGAGATTGAAAAGCTTTCTGCTGAAAGATAGAAACACTACTTTAACAGATAGCTATAGACATCCAAAAATAGCGATATATGAATAACAAAGTAAATAAAAATGTGTAACAGATACCCAAATATACAATGATACAAGACAAACTCCTACATTCTCAGTAAGATCATTTTCTTTGAATTTATAAATGTTTAAGATGTAGATGAAATAGTAAAGTGTCTAATTATAATATTTAAAATTATAATCTAAATATACACTTACATACCTAGAAATGGTTTTTCTCTATTCTTCATATATGAAACAACTTTACCCAAACTTTTCAAATCTATCTTTAATATCAATATCTTTTATTAATTTATCTATCAGTTTTTCCATATACATGATCTGTATTTCCTTTTAAGCCGACTGAAAGAGAGCACTTTTTAAATCTGTTTATGTTGTCACTGGAATTGGCTTATGTGCACGATTGTCAGGATGTAACGATACTGCCTTTTAACTGATTTTAGAAGACTTACTATGGTATTTAATAAAGGCAATTATGATGTCAATGTTTAATTTCTTTGATGCTTTTTAAACTAATTCTTCTTGAGCACCTCTATAAGCACTCAAAACTAACTCAGTGATGTCTGCTTCCCCAAAAGGATTTTGTTATTTAGTGTATTAAAATTTTTTGAGAGCATATTGTACAATATGAGATTTTATAAGAAATAATTAGTTTATAAGCTAAGACAACTTCCTGGTAAACACATTTTGGAATATTTTCCCTAATATTAAATTATATGTGGATTTTTTTTTATAATAGTGAAATGAAAACTTTCTTGCAACAAAGAAAAACCTGAATCTGCACAAAGAAAAGGTACAAAATATTTCAAGAGAAACAGATTCAGAATTATTAATACAATATCATATTCCAGTGAATTTCAATCCTGAAGAAAGAGTCTTTGGGCATCAAAGAAAGATAAAGCAAGTTACCTCCAAGAGGAAAAACATTACACTGGATTCAAATTTTCTACAGAAACATTCAATGGTGGAAGACACAATATGCTTGTAAGAAGAAAAGGGTTATCAAAGGTACTTATTCACATATAAAACATGTCAGAAACTCTCAGAAATACAAATGTTAATTGTACTGCAGGAATATAGCATCCATAAGCTCTTCACGAAAAAAAAAATTGATAAAATCTAGCCAAGTGAGAGATGAATTCAAATAACTCAGGAAAGGGGATGCTACAGTATAAAAGAACTAACAATAAGAACTGAATCTGTCTAAATATAGGCCCAAGGCTAAACAACTCTAAGAATTATAATTTCAAAACTAAAGACACATTATTATTTTACCATGTCAAGATGAACAAAAATCATTAGTAGGGAGGAACTGTAAATATACTAATTTCTTCATCTTTCATGGCAGAACTAAAAATAATGTCAAAAACTGACATTTTTTTAAACCGATCTGCTTATTTTTTTAATTGACAGATTTAAAATGTTTACATATGTAAGTTATTTTTAATCATTTCAGAGAATAATTAAATATCTGTGTTTTAGAGTTCCCAAAAGCTCTGTGAGAAACTAAAGCAGTCCGAAGAGTTACATGGATTAAAATTAATGAAAGATCATTCAGGTAAGGCAGAAATAGGGACTGTAACCAAATATACAGAATCACCAGATAAAGTTATACCATATAAATTTTAGAATGAACTTATAAGCTAGAGTTAGAGAGCTTGTGAGACATAGGAACTCTCATTCTCTTTAGTTTACCAATTCCATTCATACAGAAATATTGCTATAGCACACAGGTATCTGTAACAAGATGTTCAGTGTAACATTATCTGTAATAGTAAACAACTAAAAACAACCTAATCATCCACAACACACAACTGGCTAAAGAAATTATGATAGAGACATAAAAATGCATACAAGGGATATACTACAGTTGTTACATGAAAGCTGTAAAGAATGAGTTGCATCAATAAATAATGATATGGAAAGATATCCATGAGATATAAAGTGAAAAAAACAAGATGCAGAAACACATACATATGATCCCACTTGTTTTTAAACATCGAAAGCTATATGGATGTTCGTCCCATATAGGCACAGATAATACAATAAAGAATAAACACTGATGTATTAACAATGCTTACCATCAGGGAATGGGAATGAAGGTGGAGTGGAACAGAGAACTTAGGGTTCATGCATGTCTGTACTTTTTGAGTATGTCTACCATGAGCATTTATTCCTTTAAAATTAAATAGTAGTAATAATAAAATCTTAAAGAATGCGCTACCCCTCTTGAATCATTCAGATGTTTCTATGTGAGGCATTCGACAAATACAAATATTTGTTGACATATATTTAAGTCTCTTAACTCGAGATATTAAAATTTTGCTGATGAAAGAAAAAAAGAAACTAAATGATAGATGCTATGGGGAAACATAAAGGAAATTCAAGGTCCAGGGAAAAAAGAGATGGTTAACACTGCACTCTTTCATATAAGATATAAATCCTCATTTCGCTGCCATAATAAAATAAATATAAATAATCTGGGTATCTTATGACATAATGCATTAATTGAGCCATATTTTTTTAAGTATGTTCTTTTAGAAGATACCAAGTTTATCTGGGAGTAAGGATACTTTAGCTCTAATTCAGACTCGGAATCTAGTGTTTGATGTGACCCTGAAACAGCCATCTAAACAATCTTCTACTTTCAATCTAGATTATCTTTTTGTTTTGTAATTTATAGTAATTTTTTATAATAATGGGAATGACTTTGATAGGACTTTGATAAACCACCCTGATCTGTCTTCAGAGAAGCTTTGCCGAGTTCCTGCATTAACAAATATAATAGTATATATTTCCAAAACAGCAATATAGTTATGAAATTTAAGAACTGGAGAACACTTTCAACATACCTCAATATTATAATAATAAAGTATGCAGGAGAACACTAATGAGTAAGATACTTTCTGAAGATCAGAACATTTTCTCAGTAGTAACACTGGTAGCACTTAAAGGGAGTTTAGTTTAAAAAGATGTAAATTGCTCTTCTTGCTTTGTCTAAATTCTTGTACTTACCATATTGTTTCCTCTTAAGTGATCATAGTACAGTTAGCCAGTATTACACTACACAGAGACAATGTGGTGTATTACCCTAAAATCAGACTGATACTCATATGTATATGTACTGAAGAAAAAACTATATACTTTTATTCCTAAGAATACATTCATAAGAAGATTCCTTGTAAGGAAAGTACCCAAAAGTCATCATATGGCTTAGAAATTTCTGTAACTCTCTTGAAAAACTTATCTGACCTTCAAATGATTCTCTGTACTGGACAATATTTGGATGCTTCATGTTTGCCAATACTGCAACTTCTCTCCTTGATTCTTCCCTTTCTTTATTGGACATCTTAAATGGGAGAGAAAAAAAGTAATAAATTAAACATCAATAAACAACCTAAAAGTCCATCGATAAGAGTGGTTAAAAAATAATAGTAACAATAAAGCACAGTCCAAATAAGATGATATGCCCAGAAGTTAAAAAGAATTGAACTGACAAATAAGAACACTTTCAGATGTTTAAACTAGATTAAGTTACAGGAGACATATAAACACAAGCACATATTATAGAAAAAAATATGAAAAGATATACAGGCTATTCTGAAATTAGTGGTTCTCTCTGGGGTTATGGCAGTCTTTCACTTTAGGTATGCACTGCCATATATTTTTTTACTCTCTAACACTAAGACTTTTTGTAACCTGGCTATTACTTGAATAACCAAATGAAAAAATATACTTACTCTTGAAATGTTAATTTCCTTGATAACATACTGTTTTCCATCTTCTGTAGATTTAACAAGAATGGCTTTTCCAAATGAACCTTCTCCAATCTTCTGTAGTCTGACATATTTATCCATGGTTCTTTTTCTAAGTCTAAGGCATCCTAACTAATATGCTAGAAATAAAAAAAAAAAAGTAATAGTTAACAGAGATAAGCATATCTTCCATTCAAATTCTAATTCCTTAGTGATTTGCTTACTTAAAAAAGATATTTAATATCTTTACTGAAAGTTAAATAAACTTTATCTCAGTTTTACTCACCCAACCTAGTTATGACTAAAAAGAGAAAAACAGTGACATTTTAATTTTATAAGAATGCTTCATAAAGTCACACACTATATATACTTAATGTATATGGAGAAGTATACTTTTTCCTATATGAATTAACTAGCAGCATTACTTTATTATCTCCAATAAGAACACAGATTTAATAAGACTATTTTCCAAAGTTATTTAAGTAATTACCTCTTAGACATTTAAATTGTTTACACTGTTTGCTATTAAAAGAACTTCAGACAAAATTTCCATACTTATATTTTTACGTACATATTATAAAAATTTCCTTAGGATACAAGTTCAAAAAGTATGCACATTAAAGCTTTCAAACACATTGCTTAACTGTCTTACAGAAATGTCTAACTTATATTCTAACGAGCAGTGTCTAAAAGTGCCTACTCCTAGGTAATCTTTTAACACTAGTTATTATTTATTAAAATTTTTGAGAGACAATAAAGGGTAGTAGCTAAAGAGCACTGAAACCCTGGAGTCAGAGAGCCTAGGCTTAAATCCTGGCTTTATCACTTACCTGTTATATAACCTTGGATAAGTTACTCATCTTTATGTGTCTCAGTTTGTTCATCTGTAAAATGTGGATAAAAATGATATGCATTTATAGAGAACTGTTGGGGGGATTAATTTCAGTAACATACTGAGAACAGTGCCTGCTACACAGTGAGCACTATGTCACTAGTAGTTGTTACTCATTATGTTTCATGGAGGGAATGGTGCCTCATTTTTATTTTTGTTTTGCTTACCAGTGAATTTGAAAACTTCCATGTTTATTGAACATGTTGTATTTCTAATCTTTTAAATTACTCATTCATGTTCTTTGTCCATTTTCTACTGAGATAGTCTCTTTTTATATAAATTTGTAAAAGTTCCTTTAATGAAGATATTAGCCTGTCATAAATTCCTTTTTCCTTATAAGCTATCTGCTTTTCAATTTTATTTAAATATAAAAGTTTCTTTTGATATGAACAAGTTTATCAATCTTTTCTTTATATTTCTGCCTTTGGTATAATGAGACCTTTACCATACCATTTGATTAAGGTCATTAGTAGCTTTAGCAATAGTAATCTCAGGAGACTGGTGGGGACAGAAGCCAGAGTACAATATGCTAGGCAGTGAAAGTTTTAAAGAGTGAAAGGAAGGGGAAAGGGAAGGAGAGGAAGAGAGAAAGAATCACCAAAGCAATCATTAGCATTGCCTATTGGCAAGATCAGCATTACTATGGAGATACATGCATTCACTATGTTAATCTAAAACTAAGAAATATTTAATTCACCAAACTTAGTCTTTTATATTTCCATTCATAGCAAGTAGGCTTCCTATGTATGAGTCCCTTCTCGGAGAAAATGGGTTTCTCATGAAGACTATATTAAAATTTCTATAACAGTTTAGTACATTTCTCATTTTAAATTAACAAATCCATGTTCTCATTTCATTTATCAATACTAAAATTTGTTTAATTTTATTTTGCTTCTATAAAAATGATCTATTTTTTTAAATGAAAGAATTCATATTCTGGGCTCGTAAGACTAAAGGCCAGAACCTAGCCTGTGATAAAAATCAATGGGATAATTATATCTTATGAAATTTTGTGAGAAAGACCCTTCTTCTACCTTAGAAAACATTATGTAACCATTTTCCATTTCAAAATTTCTGTATGACAAAACTTTTAGCAACCTCTAGAGAAACAAGAAATTAACTATTATGATAGCACTACAGCATTATCAGTGAATTCAAGTAGAAGTCATTCCTAACATATTTTCAAGTCCAACTTTGGTCAACTGGCATAATATAATGGCTCTCTGGACACCAGCCAGAATTTAATGATTTCTCCAGGGCATGAAAGTATATTACATTACTATGCTCCTTAGAAAAAATACCAATAAACTTATCTTAGAAAACTAAATTTCATCAATCAAATTACATTAAATAATAATCACATGAGATTATTTCAAAACCATCATTATTCTGTAACTTTTGCCCGGAAAGAAAAACACAATTAGTCAATTAAGTCCTGCCTCCAAATTTGGTTGCCAGTTCCTTTTGAAGGACCACGCTAACAAGATGGAAGCTCCGAGTCCCTAGTATTTGTTCTGTTGTCTACCTTATTACTGAGCATTGTGGTTCCAACAACTCAGTAAAGTGGAGGACAATCTACTACTCTGGTAGAGAACAATGATGACTCTAATTGCCATCAAATAATGTCAAGTGCAGACACCTTATGAACAATGACAGACTTGTGGTAGATGAGTCTCAGAGGAACTGACAATTCCTCCTTTTCTACAGAGTCCACACTAGACTAGTGTAGTAAGTACACTAGAGGAAGTGAAAGGAAAACATGAATGACAGATTACTTTCTATCTTTGTATTTAACATATTTAACCAAGTGACTTATTTCCTTTTTGTGAGACTTCTCAGCTGAATTACAATCCTAGAAGACTTTCGGACCAAATGAAATAAAAGATAACAAAACGTACTATAGGCTTACATACCTCAAAAAATCATCATACTGAAGGAACAAAAAAATTCTATTCTAATTTCATTATTGTAACAAACTCAAATTACAAATAAATGTATTTGCCCTTTATACACTTCAGGTTCCAACATCAAATGAAAATAACTACCAACTTGACAGCATTCTTAAGGTCTATAACAATTATATTACTTTAATCTCTATAATACTTATCTTCCATTGAAGATATTTAAGGCATAAAATCAAAAACGTTTTTGGTATCTGAGCTTTCCAAAGTTTTATGATATAACAAATAAAGCATGGATTTGGAAAAGAAAAGCTACGAGACCAAAAGCAAACCACCTGACTTCTCTGAGCCTTAGATACCTCATCTAAAAACACTAAAGAATAAAACATAATGCTCTTAAGGGCTCCACCAACTCTAATAGTCTATGACTCAAGGAGAAAAAAATAAAAGAATTAAATGAGTAAGAAAATAGGAAACTTCAACACTGTTTAGAGCTGTACAACTAGCCACACAAAGAGTATAGCCAAAACCTTTCATTCAGAAAAAATAAAAAGCCACAGGAGATTTAGCCTAAATCTTCTTAAAGATTTAGCCTAAATCTTTAAAAAGTCAAAAAAAAAAAAAACTACAACTTACAGTTAAACATACCAGACTGAACATATATATTCACCTCTACATCTTCCTCAAACACAATTTTAAAGGGATCACAAAGTAGAACATGAAAGAAAGCAACAGCAATAAAATTCCAGAAGCTGACAAACACAAAAACAAGCAGTAACTGACTTGGAAGAAGAGAGAAAGCTGGATCTTACACCGACAATGGGAAATAAGTCAATTCTTTCTACAGACTAACTCAATAACTGAAAGCACCAGGTGCCTCTGAGAGTGAGGATATTAGGACTAAAATAAGATTAGTTGAAAGACTGTGTGAGAGGCAGTTAGACACTCAGTTTGATTCATCCACCTCCCCCAGTTAGGTGGACTACCCCTCTTCCGGCTGGGCAGAAGACTAGCGATGTCTCTAGATTGGGGCCCTTCTCCCAGCGTGGCAGACTAGCGAAGTCTCTAGATTGAGGATCCCTGACACAGCTGAGAATGGAAATATATACAGGCATGCTTCACTTTATTGCACTTCTAGATGTTGCATTTTTAACAAATTGAAGGTGAGACCCTCTACTGGTAAAAGGATTACAACTGGCTTTATTGCAGGAGTCTCAAATGAAACTCACAGTATCTCCCAGGTATGCCTGTACAATCTGGGAGATTAAGTGAAAGTCTACATAATAAATTATGAGACTCTGTTCTGATCCTAATGTTATAGCTTGTATCAGACCACCCCACTTCCTAAAACAATCATAAAAGCTGAGTAAAATACATAAAACAACAGATAGCAATTGAGGGGCTATAATCACTGAAAAGTAGGAACATGCTAATGAGTTCCACATTCACCCCAGGCTTTTCCCTGAAGACATTTTCCAAACTGTGGCATAGCAGAATGGAGCGTAAGTGGAAAGCAGTCTTACTAGGCTGAGGAGAGACAGGTCAGAGTTTAGGGCTGCCAAAATCCTGGAGAAAAGGAAAAAGAACACAAGAAGTCCAAAAATCTGCATATAAATTCCTTACCTCTCAGTTAACCCATTGCTAAATTGCATATACACAGAGCAAGACAAAAACAGGTTAGTCCTAACAAAGCCTAAAA